AGCTGAGCAGCTCCTGCCCCTGCCCTACTCCATCCCTCACCATGGAGGTCTGAATCTGCCCCCCCACACCCCTTCCCTCCCCCAACCCTTTCCCCCACACCAGACTTACCAGCCTGATGCTGGTCTCTATGCTGCAGGGCTGAATACCAGAATCAGACTGATATTGGCCAATATAGCTCCTTAAAAAATCAGCCATCGGTATCAGCTCAAAAAAAATATCAGTGCACCCCTAACTATTCTTGCTAAATTTATATTTGATCAGACTACTAGATTGATTCTAGGCTCTCATTCACTCCAACTAGGAACATAATGATGCTCAGATTTGGACGTGAAAAGGGGGAAGAGATCCCAGTCACTTTATTAATGTCTGTTTTTAAATATTTTATGTATAAATCAACAGCCAAATTAGAGGAAGAACAATTCTATCACAGTTAGTTTTGTCGGCTTTTTCCCCCCCCAATCCACAGGAGAAAGGCAAATCAAAGTAAAAACAAAATCTTTGGGAGCTAATCTAAGAGTTCCCGTATATGGCAGCTCTTCCAGAAGGAACTAAGTCAACACTCATTCCAGTCACAAAAACTACCTTCTCAGCTTTCTGCATATATATCTTTGGAATTAAAATTCTCCTCTTAACTTCTGTATTAAGATAACACAGCGTATCGTAATTGTGCTATAGCGAAGATATATTTTGGATCAAATAACTATTTCCTTCAGAAAATATTATCTTAGGAGGATAACATGTACATTTCAAACAAAATTTAAGGTTTTGCCCTACAGAAACTTCAGGAACCTGGAGAGATTGTTTTGGCCACTGGAGGTGTCCCCACTTTATTGCTATTCTAATGTTGTTTATGGGGAAAAATCCCACCACGGAGAGGTACCTTTCCTTTTCTTTTCTTTTAATAATTTCTACTAAAATACATATTAATGGAAAACGATTTAAAAATTCAGCTAACTTGTATTTTTACTTTGATGAAAAGTGGAAATAAGGAATTTCCTACAATTCTGCTATACAATTTCTCAATAATTAGGTTATCTTATCAAATGACCGTATATGAAACATCAGTGTGTAGTTCAAGACCACAACCAAAACTAAAGTTGTACTGCTTCAGTGCTAGGATAATACCAAATTCCTCATTAAAGTCTATCCTTGATGGATGTAACTGGCAATGGATATAACTGGCAATGGATAATTGTCCAATTTATCTAAAAATTATTGCTGAGATCTGGCAGTAAAACATCCCAAGAGATTTCAGACACTTTAATTACAAAACAATTCCACATATTTTAAACTCTCTCTCAGTTGTAAAACCAAGTCTATGAATTTGCATGAAGCACCATCTGTCAGCTTTACATTTCAAAGAAAAAAAGCAATGGAATTTGCAGCTAATCCTCTAAATGAACTAAATTAATATCTGCACTGTTTCTATTCCTTCCCTTTGATGAAATCCACTGTGCACTACAACCTTAATAAGACCCCAATATTCCCCCACCATTATTTGTATCACACTTCCATCAGAGCCACTGTCCTTGCAGTCTGTGACCAGACTGCAATTTCTTTGATGTTTATCAATCTACTGTTCTGTAGTTCACATAGAAGCTATTAAATGATAGCATTTACTCTTCTCTATACTGCAGGAAACTTTTGATTGTCTAGTGGTAGTAACAAAGGAAAGCTGAAAACTGAACACAGAACACCATCTGTGTTTTGTAATAAGTTAAAAAAATACTTTAGAGATCAAAGCTACTCTTAATTAGTAATAATAATAAAAAAAAAAAAGATCTACATAGTTCAAAGGGATTTTAGTTTCCAATACAGTGTTACCTTGTCATGAACATCTTGTAAGAGGTCTCGGATAATCAGTTGTCTGTCTTCAGTCTGTATGAGGTCCTGGGGGCAGGCAGTCAGAATAATTTCCACCAGCTGTCTCCAGGACTCTAGTGCATGCCGTTTAGCATGGAGACACTGCAGCAACTTGTTCCTCTCCACCACATACTGTAGGATTGTGTTGATCTCCTAGATACCCAAGAAAAGGAAATTTTGTTAGACTGTAATAAAAGACAGTGAAAGAAAGAGATATCAAGATGGTCTGACAAATAAACTATTACACTGCTTTTAGTTCATCACAAACAATCTGAGCTATTATATGTTTGGTAATGGGATGGACAAGTCCATTTCTGACCTGGTTTCCATGCAGTACTTTCCACTATGAACCTCTTAAGGTCTTAAGTAGATGCAGAGACAAAGCCAAGTAAAGAAACGTGTGTAATGAATTCATTTAAGAAGCAAAAGCTATCTGTTCTTTTAAAATTATCTTGTTACTTTTCTGTCCCATTTTGTCTCCTATTTACCAAATATTCTATATTTATTTTGAGACAACTACCTCTAGATTTGGGGCTCAAATTTGCAAACAAGCATTTACCATCATATGCTTGATGGCACAAGAAATCTCACTGAAAACACTGGAACCAAGTTATTTTAACTAGACTTACTTCCATAAGTAAAGGTCTTTGGCCTATGGCTGCCATTCCTTGAAGGGCATTAACTTCTGCAACCAGAACTCTGTGAAGATACTGGAATTGAAAAGGGAGGGGAAAAATGAAACTGCTGTTGCACCAAAGGAATTTCAACAACTGTAATCTTGTTATGCCTAGATTGTAAACGTGCCCACTGTTTGGAGATATGTGCAACGCATAAGTGGAGTCAGCTAAGAAGGTAACTAAAAGACACCATTTTCTTCACCTTGCATTTTGTTTCTTCATCCCACCCCTCTGCTGTTACCTCAGGTTTCCAACTTTAGTCTTCCTGCTGGCAGAGCTTTAATCGTCCTCCCATTTTCCCTCATAGTTCCCTTACCTCAAGTTCTTTATAAAAAAAATATATGTTCAAAAGTACACAGAAAAAAACAGTTAACAATATACTATGCTACCGACACCAAAATCACTTCCATTACATGATGTATCCCCTTCTCCCACCTTGCATCTACACTTTGTCTTTCAAACTGTAAATTCTTCAAGGCAGGGGCTATGTCTTCCTATATTAATGTACAGCATCCAGCACAATGGGATCATGACCCTGATACGAGCCTTTGGCAGTAGCAGCAAAGTGCATTATACAAATGATCTTTTAAGTCACGTTCTCAATTTAATTTGGATATTTCAGAAAGGAAAATCATCGCAAGTGCAAAACTCTCCTGAGTGTCTACAAACTAGTGTGCCAGTGTAATACAAATGAAAAACCAGCATGTGTTATGCAAGATACAAAGAAAAAAAATCTGTTTTATCCATTTAGTTTACACAATGCAAAGTGCAACAACAGTCAGTTCAATAGTATCTAACTACTGAAAAGGCCAAATGTGAAAGCAAGAGTGAGAAGTACTATTAATGCATGCAGACCTGTTACAACTGAAGCCCCATCTCCGGCAACTTTTTAAAATGACAAAATCAAGATACAAACAGCTTGTTCACCTTGACATTGCAGATGACTTGTCCTCGTGCATTCTTGTGCTCACAATTAGCAATAACCTGCTCAATCTGAGCCCGGTCAAAAAAATCCAATTGCAAAGGTTCAGGAATCTCTTGACTGAAGTCAATTGAATCCAGGATACTTAAGATCTTCCTGCGCACTGGGGAAAAAATGAATAGCTTGTTTAGAAATATATAGGAACCACTGTGACATAGAGAAGCACAGGAATTAACCAACCTTTTTCAGATTTTTGCTTAAAAATGCCTAATAATGAGAGCTTTATGTGCAGCTAAAATGATCAGTCTAGGAAAACAGACTAGCTTCTTGTTTCCACCACAATGTGGATTATGAATTAAATTCTAATCACTATGTTATTTCTAATTTAACATATGCATGTGTGTCAATATCTTCAATGCTGAGTGTCAAATTTTAGCTTCCAAAGTTTTCAATAGCCTCATTCTGAGAACTACTGAAAACCTAAAGATCCTGATGGAAGAAAGCTGTGAGTTTAGAGACCTAACTTTAGCCAACTATCTTTGAAAGTCTTCAGCTTAACACAAGCAGTAAGTCTCAATGGGTTTAATGACCATTTAATTCATAGATCATCTCCCCTCTCTTTTGCCCTCCAGTGCCACCTGTATTGCTCTTCTTCCACTTTTTTTTCTCCGTTATTTTCTGCTTATTTTAAGCTGTCTGGATTTCCAAAGCATGTTGTTTTAAAACAAGTAACAGTGTTCAGCATAACAGCTGCTCTACAGGCAGCCTTTTCTGTTCATTGTCTAGAAAATCCTTATTAAGAAACAATGAATTGCCAGGCTGATTACCTTTACAGGCAGTGTCAAAGTGAAGAAATCCACTGACTGAGCGACTTTCATCTTCCATTCCTCCTTCTCCATCAGCTGTGGGTATTGAAAGAAAAGACAGAAAATTAAGACAGAAAAGGTATGCCAAATTTTGACCAAGGCTGAAAGAGGACAAGGAGTGACTGTGGTTTGGCAAATGTCTTCATTTTGAAGAGGTAGTCGGCAGTGTTAGTCTGAAGTCAGACTGAAAGCAGGACAGTGTGGCATCCTATACATTAACTCATTCAGAGAGGCATAAGCCTAAGTCAGATGTGACGAATGAACTTGATGAGAGCAGGGATACTAAACAGAAAAGAATAAGGTAATTTAAATATAGAGGATATTGTAAATGTTCAGTTGACTTTACTGTGTGTTGGCCAATGTAGTGGACACAATGCATCTATCTCCACCTCACAAAAACCAGTTTAGCACTGAAACACAATAAAGTAGGTAGGGGTAACGCTTACATAGTTTCAGTCCATTCGTCACCTATTCCAGTGGGGAACCAACCTTTCTGGCAGGCATGCCACAAAATCAGCATCATACCCTCCCTGAGTAAAACCTCCTGCCCCCTTCCCCTGCCCAATTAGCTCTTCTGCTTTCTGTTTCCAGCTCTGTCTTTCCTCCCCAGTCTGCTGCTGCTTTCTGCTCCCCACCCTATATGCCACTGTGCTGCCTGTCCACTCCCCAGTCTGCCGTGTGCCACACACAGAGGCTGTCTATGCCATATGGCATGCATGGCACCGCCTGGCCACTTCCGATTTACTCTCTATGTTGTCTTCCCTGGAAGCTTTCTACTACTGACTTATTACATTTGTCTTGCAAGACAATGTAAATATATATTAACATCATGGCATTCATGTCTTTGTGTTTTGACATTACAGCAAGTGTGTTTTGTCATGATGCACTGTAAAAGCCCCCCAAAAACTTCTGACTCAACCCTGTTGCAAAAGAACTTTGAAAAGGTAAACCATCTGAATCACAAATAAGGGGCATATATTATTTGAACCAACCAGCAAGAAAGAGTCTTTATCAGTTGGGAGACTAAAACCAAGGATTGTGACCTAACAAGCTCCTTTTATCTTGTAAATGCTTTTACCACTTCTCTCAACATCTGGCCTCTAAAACTATATTTCTAGACTGATTTTTAAGAATAAGCAGAGATGCTTCAGACAAGAAAAAAAAGGTAAAGGGAGAAAGAATAAAACCATCACATCTACAACTAAACAGAACACATCCTTTGCTCCCCACCTAGGGCCAATTCCAAAGAAAATATGAGAAAGGCATCCAGATGTTAGAAAGAACCATAACATGAGAAGAGCTAGTCTAAATAAGTAAAGAGTGTGACAGCTGAAAATTATGTCTGTATGATAAAGGTGCTTGCTGAAGGCTCTATAAAGATTAGACCAAGTGTTTTTCTGTTATTTGTTTAAATATTAAGCTATATGTTTTAGCTAAGAGACTAATTAAAGTTTAAGATGTAGCAAGGCCTTGTATAAAGTAAGGCCTAGAAAACTGAGCAAAGCCTTGAAATAGTATGGCCCTGTGGTGTAGTTAAAATTAACCTTATCAAAGGAATGCAAGGCTTGTACTGCTATTAGTCAGTCTATGGACAGTTGAAGTAAAAAGAATCTGAATGACTAAGTTATCAGCATAGTTCAGAAGTCATAAATTAGCTGAAACATCCAGAAATCATTCAGAAGGAAGATACAACTCTGTGAAAGGGATTAATTAGCTGTTGACCTGGATCAGTGGGCCCATGGATCTCGAGGAGCCCAAGAACTAAATACCAGGGTCCTGCCTGGTACCTCTCGGACAGCACTGATCAGGGACGCATGATGTCGCTGAGCTTTGTAGAAAGAGAAACTTGCTGTACATCAAGCATCAAGGGGACTGCCAATAAGCTACCGACGTGAATTATTCTTGTCTGTAATTGTTTGTCTTGTTACGATGCTTAGTTGTGTTTTTGTTAAGTCAGTAAACCTTTCTTACCTTTTTACCCCCGACCATACCCTCAATTCCGAACCCTCCACTGGTGGCTGGGACAAAGAGGACTTCTCCCACATCCACCCATTCAAATCTTAGTTTCCAATTTTCTCCAAAACAAGCCCCACGTACCCAAGTAAGATTTCACAGGCATGTCATCCAGCAGCAGATGCAGGAGCCTCTGTGTGTGGGAGCGCTGGCGGTTCAATGATGTCACACGCAGTTCTATAGCCGCAGTCTTCATCAGCCAAGACATCTGGTTCAGAGTTGAAATCTCATGTTCTATGGAGAAGAGTCAGGAAAAAATCCCACAGTTGGGTAAAAAAATTAAAAGTCACCTTTTGCTCCAATATATTTTTGTTGGGCTTTAAGGAGGGGTGTGTACATGTGATTGTGAACTAAATTTTAAAACTACTTGGTTAAATAATTTCTTCACTGCTTATTTATGAAAATAACTAAGAGTGAACTGGCCAAAGTCACCTTGCTATACTAGATACAGGTGTTGCATGAGCAAACAAACATATGTGCACATAAAAAGTTCTCATAAAGAATATTGATGCTAACTTCTGGCATCTGCCACTACACAATACTTGGCCTTCCTTGAGCAAACAAGGTCAAGAGTGATAAATTACAGAGGCTTTATGACCTGGATGAACATCAACCTAACAGTCAACTGAGAAAGAACACACTTAAGTAAAACTTGATCCCAGGTCACCAGGAATTTTCGCTCTCTATATTTATCTAACTGATTATAACGTGTTTGAGATAGACATGGTCTTAATTTCTGTAAAGGTTCATCCAAAACGTACTGTCTTTTTTATGAATGTGTATAGATTTACTATTAGAAAAAGACCAATAAATTAATCCACTGTATTATCTAGATAAGTGTTCAATGAGTTTAACTTATTCTCACTGCTACATCTGAGAAATATTGATTAGGAACATTGAAACAAACCTACTGATCATTCAAAAACTAATTCCAGCACTAAATAATTTCTGCCAATTTTCTATAACAAAGAAGGGAATGTTTATAATGTTCATGGTAACAATATCAACCCTCTACTTCCCTGACTCCACAGGATCCAATAACTACTCCACTTTTGAATCACAAGGTTTCTTGTAATGCGATGCTACACATTTATGATGGAAATGAAACCTACAAATACGCTACATGACTGTCATTTATAAAGTAAAAAGAAATTATTTAAAAAGTGTAATAAAGTCATTCTGAAAAGTATCTTCCAAAATGTCTGCCTTGTGTCCATGTCCCCTTTAACTCATACTTTATCAGCCCCTGATCTGACATGTTGGTATTTAATAGGGGTGTGCAAAGCTTCGGTCGCTGATTCAATTCAGAGAAGATTCAGCCCAATTCGGAGGCCAAATCACCAAATCCGAATAGAATCGGGAGACCAAAAAAAAAAAAAAAATAAAACCCCAATGAATTCAGAACCTCCGAACTGATTTGGAAAAGATTCAGAAGGCAGCTTTTCAGGGGAACATAAACTGAGAAGAGGGCGGGGGGGAACAGACTTACATCTGTAGTTGACCAGTGACTGTGATCTTTCCCTGAGTCCCCTTCCAAT